CTAATTTTCTGCCTTTCATTTGTACTTTATGTGCTAGACAGTGTATCTGTAGTTGTCATTCTATTAACATGGTGAGGTTACTGAAAAGGAGAGAAACACCTCCATAGTAGGTAACTGAAAAGTCATGTTTGTGTTGTAAAATCTCCCCCCTTTTTCTTAAAAAAAAAAAAAAAAAAAAAAAAAAAAAAAAAAAAAAAGATTTTTTTTTAAAGATTAAAAAAAAAAAAAAAGCTCCCCCCAATAAAAGATTTTCTTAAACTAAAAAACTAAAAGACAAAAGGCTGGAAGAGTCATATTACTACCAAACCTCCCATCTGTATGAGATGGAGCAATCACAGGCTTCATAAGCTAAAATGAGCAATGAAGAAGTATTGTGTGCTAATACAAATCCAGACCTCTTGGTGCAAAAGCACTGAGTGAAGTTTTGGGTCATCCTTTTGAGTGCAAAACCCATACAGGATGCAGGGAGCAGCATAGAGGTGGGCTATACTATCACCATCACTCTAACAAGTGGAGAAAGGAGGCAGCAGCTTGGCTGAGTCATGGTTACAGCCCTTCCCTGGACCACACTTCCTTGTCTTTTTGCCTTGTAAAGCTGCCGTGGCAGGGTCATGCTGTGTCGAACAAGCTCAAGCTTACAAGCAGCAGTTGTCTGGCAAAGGAGGCTGTCGGAGGTGAGTGATGCCAGATGATGGCTCTTGGATGGCAAGGCTTAGGGTGCCATACGAAATGAGGAATGTCTCTGCAGCGACATCTGGAAGTGGAGCCCCTCTGTCAGATCATTTTCTAATTTTCTTGCCTTTCTAAATGTTGTTTGATTGTTGTTGTTCTATTTTCCTTGACAGGCTTATTGGTCCTAGCCATCTGGGGTCAATTAGTACTTAAAATTGTCCTCTTTGTAACTGCAAGTTAGGCTTGTATTTGCTAGAGGTGGCCAGGGAGGGTAGCCTTCCTTGAGCCAAATAGGTTCAAGTTCATACTAAACTAGTATCTTCTAAGTCGTCTAAGCCAGAAACTTGATGTCTGCAGAGAGAAGCAGTGGTACCAAAGGATGCTGTGATAGGAATGCAGAAAATCTAAGCTGAAAAACAACTACAGCGCAGAAAAACTGATATGATCTGACATGGGAGACAAACCCAACTTCTGGAAATTCAGTTTCCTGTCCAGTCCCAGCGCCTTATTCTAGCAGAGGCACTGTGTGTATTTGTGGTCCAGGTGAGATATGCAATGATTCAGAATTTGTTGCTACCGTTGTGTCACTCTAAATCACAGATATGTGTGTGCTATACTATATAATTGTGTGTGCAGGGGGAGGTGTGGGGCGTGTTTGTTATTTCTGTTATTGTAATGTGTGTTTTAGAAGTGGTTCCATCAAGACTACGTTTCTGTGATGCATGATTGCATTTCTCCTAAGTACTCAAAGTAATGCCAAAACTGCATGGTTCCTCTTTTCTGTGGTCTCGGACAGCTGGTCCAGAAATTATGATGCTTAATCATGATGTGTTTCAGAGCAGCATTTCATTTGGGGAGAGTGCACTCCCAGTCTTCATGTTAGACACCTGCCACTCTGTCAAGTGCCAGCTGATTTATCTCAGTTACCTGAAAACACAGTGTGTTACCATAAATGACTTTCCAAGTGTTGTAGTTTATGGTGAAGTTTCATTTTCTGAAGATGAATCACTTTTTCAGAGGAAAAAGAAAGTCTATAATCTTCATTTTACTGATTTTAAATATGGATCCAATGTCTTTTCCCATTTTTCTTTTGGTAGTTCTGTAGATGGACTCAGTAGGGATGCAACATATCAAGAGAAGACTCCATGGAGTGGTGTCCACATGTGACACCCACAATTCCTGTGTTTGGGAGTGATATGTGGGAATCTGTTTGCAGATTTGGAGACTTTTATTCAGTGTATTGTAGGCATTAAGTCATCAAATCTCATAAGGAGCCACTCCTGTGCTTTTGTGTTGCAGGCTTCCTGTTTAATAGAGATTACATTTTCTGCCGTAATGCCCTGTAGTGAAATTCATTATGAGATCCTATTGCCTTTATTTGTAGTTCTTGAAAAACTCAGGGCTCCACCCTGAACTCACACGGGTATTGAGTTAGGTGCCACCTTTGTTTGCCTGAAAGAAGGCAGCCTGTTTTTGCACCTCACTGAAAGCTCGATCCCCTCAGCATTTTGTTACTGCTGAAGGAGACAGGGTGGGATGGGAGCAGGGGGGAGAGCTCTTTTGTACAGCCCAACTCTCTTACAGCTCGGCTGAGTTTTGGAGCCTAACCATTTGGCAGAAAGTCGTCATCGCCACTCAGGTTGTGCTCAGGATGTTGAATAGCTCTGATATGGCACAAAAGCAGCAGTGGCCCCATCTTGTGCATCCCTGTCCCCTTCCATCTGTGCACTCCTACCCATGTATTCCTACCCATGCATGACTTCTGTTGGGTGGCCAGAGCTTCAGGTGCCTTAGTCCTGGAATTTCAGCCAGAGAAGCAGCAGGGTAGTGGTTTAGTGGCATGTATGACATTCAAGATATCATGGGTGAATCCTGTGGTGGTTGTTTTTTTTTGTTTGTTTGTTTTGTTTTTTAAGTCTTTTGCATCCTGCTTTTTTAAAATTTATTTTTATTGCACCATTTGGAGACACCTTTTGCCATGCAAGGTGTATACAGAAGTGCCCTCCTTCTCCCTGCACAGATTGAGGGATTCGTGCAGCACAAGCAACGAAAATGTGGGGAGGTGCAGAAGGGGAAAGAAGAAATGTTCATATGCCTAGGTGTTTTATTTACCAATCCTGTTGTTTCTGTTTATTGGAGAGATGGTGAAAAATAACTACAGAAATATTCTCTCATCTGTGTTAAAGTACTCATTGCCTGCTACAAGATTAGGCTTATTCTATCCTTGGTGTACTACCAGAAGTACATACAGCTAGAAAAAGGGTGAAAAGATTCACGACTTTTTTTTTTTTTTTCTTTTGTCAGTTTTTCTCTGCTGGTGTGTGATGATTTCTGGTTAAAAAAAAAATAAAAATCATAATTTTCTCCTTTTCTCCTTTTCTCCTTTTTATATGTGGCAAGCGAGCATACATCTAGTTTTGATCTAAAATGGTCCTCCCTAAAGTCTGCTTCATCTGTAATATATTTCTTCTCTTCACTATGCAACAGCAGCAGCATTTCAGGAGTAAGAAAGTAGAATAAATTTAAACAGAAACAATGAGCTGCTGTAAGGTAGGTTCAGTGTTGTTGCTGCACTTCAGCATGTTTGGAGAACGACAGAAACTAAGGTCTGGTAAGATGTTATTTAAGTTACATTTGTGACAGCTCACAAGACAATGAAAATATCTGCCAGTTGAGGATCTTGAGGCTCTTGATGGAATTTTACTGAAAGTCATAGTCTTGGTCAAATAGCAAATCTTCTCTGAATCAGGAAAGCAGTAGTTTCAAGTTGACAGTATGTTAATGTTTCTTTCATCTGTCATGCACAGTGGAAAAATTAGTGAATTTCAGAAAATAGACTGAAGTTTGTTTTGAAAGGGAAATAGGAAGCCTGAAGGATCTGCAGCTTGGCTCTTTGATTTCCAATGAATGTTTTCTTGGAGGAATGCTAACTCTCCATTTTCTGTCCTCTACATGAGCATAGTAGTAAAACTTTGGAGCAAGGAGTGGAAAGAATGAAAGGTTACTAGCGAGAAATTAATAGGAAAGAATAGGGGTCACTGGAAAGCTATATAAAGATGGAAAAAATGATCCTAGAGCTTGGAAGATGAGCCAGTCAGCTACACGTGACGTAAGGCAAGCTGGGGTGTGCTGAAATGTGGAGCAGGCATTTAAAGATGATGCTTTTTAAGAAGGAGGAATAATTTCCACAGTGGTGTGCGAAGGCTGAGTTTAAACGAACAGAACACACACACAGACAGAGACACACAAAAAGAAAAAAACTGACTCAGAAAACCATGTGGAGTGCAACTTAGCCATCCTTTCTTGGCTGGGTAAGTAAGGGCTGGCTTTGAAAAAGGGAACCGAAGGCTGGGAGCGGTGGTAGTGTTGTCTGTGTACTTGCACCATGGTCTCTGTTTGAGAAATACTGGTTAGGTAAGGGATCATTTCTAGTGTATTTGTTGGATGCTGAATACAATTTGCGGGAGAGGTTTTCCACCGTGACTTACAGAGTAGGAAGTGGTAGATACTGTGAGCAATAGGATTTTGTCCAAAATCCCTTCTGTGGTAGCTATTTTGTGGGACATGTTATATATGTCTGGCTTGATTGTGGAAAAGAAATTAATAACTCTAGTGGCATCAGTCTGGAATTTTTAAATGGACTTGATTTCTTGGCTGTTTACAGTTTTCTACCCATTTGTTTGCTTTTCTTTGCACATAAGAATAGAAGCATATGCTGAAGCTGGTCAAATCTTGATAATCATGATAGTTAAAGAAATAGCTCCATTCTGCTGTATCATCTGATCAGCAGTTCAGTATGTTCACCTACTGTATGCATCTGGGAAAAAAAAAAAAAAAAAAGGTTAAAGCACATATAGGATAACATAAATTCATCACAATCTCCATGTTATTTTTGTTAACAGAGAAGAAAAGTAGTGTGCTCACTAGAATGTAAAACAACACCAGTCGAGAAAATAAATGTATCCTAAATTCCAGCAAGTAGTTGTATGCATACTCTTCTGTGAGGTTTCTCTGTTGTTTCTTTCACTGGGGAAAAAATGTTAACGCAATTCTAGCACTCTGCAAGTGACCATCTTTATTTGGAAATGTCTGCATGGCCTTCTTGCAGTGTTCAGTTTCTGTGAATTCCATTTTGTGTGGCTGAGTGAATAGTTTTGCTGTTCTGTACCACATTACACGGTGCCCTTTGAAACTTCTCCTGCAAGTCCATTGTAAGAGGGTTGGGTGGTACAAACTGCCAGGCTAGTTTTGCAGCAGCTGAGGGGCTCATGTGTTGACTGCACACCCGGTTTTCTTGTTATTCTCAATTTTTTTTTCCTTCCTGCCAGGAACAAATGCCAGCATGACTAGGATCTGAGGAAGCATCTCCGTATTCCTACCAGAAGTTCACGGGTGCAGAGGAGGGGTGCAAGGACAACAGGGACATTTTGAGCTAAAATGGATATCCCCACCGACTTGGTGCCGTCCTCCATGATGTCGCAACCTGAAGTGATTGAGGTGAGGAGATCGCAGTGAAACTATGATGTCTGAACTGACTGAACCTCTTTATTTCTTCATCAAATCCTAGGTTTTTTCCAGTCTCAATTCTGAGTCATCGAGGGAATTTTCCCTGAAACACTGTATTGAAAACACTCATCATTTGCTAAGAATGTTGTTATACTTTGCGGCATTACATTGCTGTGTTATAATACTATTTGTAGAAGAAAATATATAGCATATTATGATCTTTATTGTTTCCACGTAGGTGGTCCCTGCAGTATGGTTTGATTTTACTGTGCGTAATGACTACAAAGACGAAGGTTGTGTTGGGGTTCAGTTGGAATAGTGCTACAGAAAATTTCAGGTTCAATGCTCATATCAGGAAAGCTAAGGTTTTAAGCCAAAAGCAGCAATAAAATTAATCATATACTTACAATTACTAACACACTAACCTTCCTTTCATGAATCAAAGTGTGTGTTTAAGCCTCAATATTTATAAATACCTGAGCGATTTCTTCTGCTCCACGTACTGAACACCAAGTACTTGTGCCTGCTGGTGAAGTAAATATTACAAACAGAAAAGGAGATGTTAGTACCAGTCAAGATTTCATCTCGGAAAGTATTTTCAAAATCCCGTTGACTTCACTGAGACCCAAGAGTCTGTTACAAGTTAAAGCTTTTAAGGGTATGTACCTTAATGAACATTGTACTACCATTGATTAAGGTAATGACACTGCCAGAAAATTGGAGATCTGAAGGTTTTTTCATTTGTTTGCTTTGTTTTGTCTTTTTTGTTGTGTTTGTTTGTTTGTTTGTTTCTCTTTGCCAAAAATCGTTTGGCTCAGGAGAACTGCAGCTCTTACCAAAGAGCACAGAGCAGAACCCAAAATCTGTTTGGAGGAAACTTCTTTGTGCTACTTTTCCTCCTGGTTTCAAATGGAGGTAGATTTTGTGCCTTCACAGCAGGTCAGGACACCTAGTAGAGATGGAGATGATGTTTGCCTGTGTCCTGGGGTGCAAGGCTGCTGATGGACTCTTCTCCCTTTCTGGAGAAAGGCTTCCCCAGGCCATCTCCTTGGTGCTCTGAAAGACACTTGCACCACTGTCTCTGTGGGTTCCCGCTTTGAAGAAAGGCTTCTTTGTGTATGAGAAATGTGTGTAACTGTTTAGGGATTACTGTTCAGGATAAATGTTTTCTTGAAGGAAAAATACGGTCAGCTGTGGTGCAAGAATGAGTGGGAGAAAAGATTCCACTTGTAAAGGACCTGATGTGAAAATGGCTTTCTAATACGCATGGTCACTGTTCTGTTGTATTTACAATAAATGCACCCTTTCTCATAGTTTGCAAGGAGTTTCTGCTGAGTAAATCTTGCATGGGATTTGGATAACTACACCAAAGAGTAGAGAAAAGCAGATGATATCAGTCATTGACTGGTAACACAGATGGCTCTCCCTCCCTGTCTGGGCTTCAGAGGCTGTGCTTCCATTAGGTTTGATTTGGGAACAGAAAAGAAATGGCAACAGAAAACAAAGAAAAGACTGATATCTCAGTGTGGGTTGCAAAATATCATTCTCTCAACCTCATGTCATAAAAAGAGACTCCTGTTTCACAGATGATATCCACATGGGCAGGCTTTTGTGCATGCATGAATTCCCCACAGATTTCAGTAAACCATCCTGGATGTTATGGTTGATACAGGGCTTCAGTACTACGTAGGGGAGTCATGGCTCCAAAGAACCCTTTCTGATGGTAAGGAACGGCTCTTTAACAGAAAAGGAGGCAGTGAAATGCATCTAAAGAGGGTGATCACTAAGTGCAAGTACTGCAGTAAAGCAGTTTCACAGGGAAGGGGCTTGCCTTTAGCATTTGTGTTCACATTACAATGAATGTTGGTTATAGTTCAGAAAAATGTATTAATTGCAATACAGTTCTTTTCTGCAGCACATTATTTTGCCTTTAAAACTGAGCAGATACCACAGTGTGCTGCAGAAGACATTTTGAGGCTAATGTTTAAATGATATTTAAAAAAAAAAAAAAAAAAGCCTTGGAAGTAGTTTTGCATGCTTTCTGCATGAGCTAGATGACATCACATTAAAAAAAAAAAAGTTTCACTATTATTATTTTTTTTTAAGCATTATCAGGACAGCTGTTTTCCTTTCATTTGGTCAGTGTAGTATTAGAAATAAGTATTATCTATTTTATATTCCCATGCATTTATATGTGTGTATATATATAGATCTCAGTAACAAATATTATTCAGCCCTTTAACTGCATAGGGACAAGCAGAGACCTCAGCAGTACATTTTCGCAGCCTGAAGTCCAGTCCTTGCTTAGGTTTGATCCTACAGATGCTTGTGGTGGCACCACACTGGGGAATTTTCTGCTAATTTAATTGTGATTGGTATTTTTCCTGAGATTCATTTTCTGAGTCAGTTAACAAAAAGATTTCTGAAAGCAGCTTCTTGGTAGAAGGTGTGGCATTGCTATTACTTCTTTAAGTATTGGGATGTGTCAACATAGGAAAAGGTTTAGATGCATCTCTACAACTTTCTACTGAAGCAAAGCTGTTTTCCACAGTAGTGTCTCTTGATATCCTCCCTACATGCTGATCTCTGAAAAGCTCTGCTCCAACCTTCTTTTCCCCTCCAGCATCCTGTTACCACAGATGAGGACTGGGGAATAGACTTAAGGCATCTCGGTGAAGTTTAAATGTGAAGGATAAGTAAAGTTTCAGGGTCATTTGATTATGCATAGATGGAATCTGGAATAGGAAGTGGTTCTGTGACAACATTCCCAATGTACCAAAGAAGTCAATTAAAATAAAAGTTGCCGGAACATGCCTTGAATTTTTTAGCTATAGGGTTTTATTGTAAGGCTGAATCTATTCATTTCAAATTAGACAAGCCATACTGTTCCTAAAGAGAGAGAAACAACAAAATAACAAAAAATTTTTCATTATTTTTAAGGTTCTCTATGTTTTTTGGCAGATGTGACAACTTCATGTTTCAGCAAAAAGATAACAGAAACCTGATTAGTCTGATAATGCAGTAAAGTAGAAAGTTAAAGCAGTCTGTAGGAAACATTTAGCATCCCAGAGGGCTTTCTTTTTAGCAAAGAGGAAGCGTAATAAGTAGTGATCTAAACAGAGCAATTTACTCTATGGAGTGATTAGTATCTTCTCTTCTTGTGAATGGCATGAGATGAACTCTTCTGTAAAAGCTTTGAAGAAGAAATTGTGTGAGCTCTACTTGCTTAATGAGCTAGGGACTTCCAACAGTGCTTCAGAAATGCTTAAAACAAGAAAACAACAAAAATTCATCATTTTCTCTTTGCTTTTGCCAGCAGTGGATCCTACCAGCCAAATACTAGAAGTAAATGAATACATTTAAATAACCGCCTTGCAGCCGTTCCAGAGAGAAACCCAGAGCATTTCCCATTATAGTGGCCTTTCATGCCTGTGTGGTTACCAGAGCCAAAACCCACTTCTTCCACTTAGTGCCATTGAATACTTCTTTATTTTCCCTTCCCTTTGTTCAAATTAGAGTGGGAGAGATTTAAGCTATCTGTCCTTGCCACAGCATGGTCGTGTTTGGTATCCTTTCCCTCTTTGCAATGATGCTGGAGAACCCCTTTCCCCAGTAAAACCCAACATTTTGCATCTTGGATTTGCTGCTCAAACTTCTGTAGCTGGCAAAGGCACTGCATTTTTCTTCCTCTCTAAGTGAGTAAACAGAGTACCCTCTGTATTAAAACTGACCTCTTGGGGTGATAAAGTAAATGAGGGGAGAGAAAAAAAAAAAAAGGAAAGAAAGAAAAACAAAAAGAAGCAAATGGTTTGTGATTACGGGTGTAACTACCCAGGTACAGACACCACAGTGGAAACTAAACTACCAGTGTGCCTTTTTTTTTTTTTTTTTTTTTTTTAATGATAGATGAAATTATCAGGTGTTCAAAGTATACCTTCTATTTGTTCAAAACAGACTAGCATTGCCTTATAAGCAGCTGTTTAGTACTGTACAGACAACCTAAAGACAGGGAACCCTATCATTGTTGTCAGAACCCTAAGAGAGAAAGATTTTTCTGTATTCTGTTAATACATTTCACAAAAGAGTGCATCAAATCAAACAAAACCAAAACTATCTGATGTATATTTCAAGAAAAAGACGTATTTGCAGTGGTAAACACAGGTCAGCCTTCTTTCCATTTTGAAATCTTCGTTTCCAGCCCACCATTAAATGTGCTCTGCTCATTAACATAATTTTGAATAGGCATTTGCTTGAAGGCTCAACTCTCCCAAGTGCTTGCTTTGCTGGTTTGCTCTGTGAGGAGCGATGAAAGGTGTGCCCTGGAAATGGAAGTAGCCCCAATAGCCTGCAGCATTTTTTCAGCATAAAAGACCAGTCTTTCAGCTGCCGGAGCCAAGAACTAATCCCCAGCTTGGCTCACAGAGCAACAAACTGGGCCTGAAGGATGCTTGTTGCATTTCTTTATGCATGGAAACACACTTGGGAGTTTTGAGGTGTGGGTTTTGTGAAGGCTTGTTTTGGTTGGTTGGTTGTGTTTTTTGTCTGTTTGTTTGTTTTATGTTTTCTTTTGTTCTGATGTTTGTTGTTTTTTGTCAATGGTTGTTTGTTGTTATGTTCTTTTTTTTTTTTTTTTTGGCACCCCTGGTTTCTTCCAGTGTGAAGGCTTGTAAAGCAACACAAAGAGGGGACTGTGTGCAGTATCACCCTCAAAAAAGCTCTTCCCAGGGCTGGGTAGGGCTGTCCTGAGCTGCACTCAACCTGCAGAGCAGCCTGCAGGAACGTGAGAGCAGGTTGGATACCTGCCACGGTGTTCAGGTGGAGGGCAAGGGTAAGTCCAGGAGGGTAGGGCAGGCAGGCCTACGGGGAGTGAGCCGGGTGGCTTATTGAAGAAGCCTAGTCTGTACCATGACACAGACATTTTTTGAAGGTGTGAGAGGCAGCATATTCTGGTAACCTGATGGAATATAAACAACTTCTTGCATTTCTCATAG